TGTTGGAGACACTACGCATACACCCTGCTTCAGGTAGGAGCAGCCCATTAGCTTCTGCTTTCAACAGTATCTCTACACACCCATGAACATAAGAGTGACTGAAAATGCAGTTGTTGTCATAAGGCGTGAAAAATAGTGGAAACAAGTGGAAAAATCATTTCTTCAAAATTGAAGGGGGAGATAGGGATGGCTTGAGCACCAAAAAGGAAGAAACAAGGGGTCTTACACAGCAAAGAGCACAAAGCTACATGACACCATCCCTATATCTTTGTATTATTGTTCACAACCAATCTCGCCATACTGACATTTTTCTCCCTAATTGGGTCTTCCAGCCACGCTTGACGTCTCCGTCATTTCCACTCTGCAACAGCTTACCTTCAAGACAAAGATATAGGGATGGTGTCATGTAGCTTTGTGCATCTTTGCTGTGTAATGACCCCTTGTTTCTTCCTTTTTGGTGCTTCAAGCCATCCCTATATCCCCCTTTCATTTTGAAGAAATGATTTTTCCACTTGTAAGACATTACAATCATTACAGGAGGAAAGTGTCCAGTAGACGTGAACAGTGGAATACGATGGCCCATGACACAGAACGGTCCCACAGTCTACAGGCCATGCACGGAGGCTGGGTCTATTTTCCGTGCTGGGCCCAAGGCTTCCAGGAGATGTAGTGGCCAAGGAGTGTGGGAGGAACCAGATCTGACCTCATGCACCATAGCTGGCACTGCCCACCCATTTCTCCTGGTTTGGTTTGTGATTGATGCTGATCATCACCCACATGAGCTGGAGCAGACTTTTGTCGACAGTGTGAGTCCTAATGTCACTGTTAAAAAGTTTTCTCATTATGAACAGCAACTTTCTTGCTATTCTCATTCAGATGAAGGACATCCTGAATTGTAATGGAGTTACCTACAAGAAAGTGATTCTCAGCTCAGTCTACATTGCCAGTTTGGCTCTCACATTCCAAGTAGATCTAGATGTAGAAGACCAGAGCAACAATGTCTCCCGGTTTACCTCATTTGTTAGCAGCTCTGCAAGTTTCTCTAGCTTCAGTAATTACTCTGTCAAGGGCAGTGGAAGAGGGACACTTGGTGTCACAGTTAAAGGTAAAGAAAACAGGGGGAAGGATATTTGTCGGTCCTTGCTAAAAGTATCCGGCTTACTCTATTGCCCACTGAAGACCACGTTGGATGTGTGACTTTATACTTATGGCTGAGCGTAGTGTTTTACCCCTACCCCATACCCTTCTCTCCGTATAGCACCCTTCTGTATACTACTACTTATTATTGGATATAATTTAACGTGCGTTTCTTTCCACCAGACACCTGTATGTGCTCTTCAGCTAATCTTGGAAGCACACTACAACTGTGCAGTGGAGCAGCACTCAGTCCATGTGATTGTGACGGAAATTTATGCAGTGTAAGCTAGAGGCGCAGACTCCATATATACAATAAGAGCTTTTGTTACCCTTTGCAGTGTCAAGCACCATATTTTATCGGGGATGGAATGAGCTGCACATTGGACTCTGACTTTGACGGCTATCCAGACACACCACTGGACTCTCCATTGTGCGAGAAAAACGGAGATTCAATTCTTCCATCATACTGCATCCGCGTAAGCAAACCCAGCTCCACCTTCTATGTGAGCATTTTACTCTCGCACACATCTGTGTAGGATGTGTGTCCAAATATCACTAATCCTGAACAGAATCCTATCGCCTGTGAACCTAATGTCCCACCTGAGAAAGGTGATTGTGAAACTATTGAATAGGTACTCAATCATTAGTCATCGTGGTGTCTTTGTACAACAGAGTTCATGGGATGTCCTTACGGTCCCGATAAGGTGTGGGGCATCACATGGCCCAATGCAAAAAAAGGCACAACCAATACCCAGCCATGCCCTGGAGGAGTTGACACTATTGGTATAGTGCTATTGTCATGCTCCCCCGTATTAATTTGAATTGATTGCACTATAGGAAATGCAACTAGGATATGCGATGAGAATGGGACTTGGGGAGATGCTAACGTTCTGTCGTGCCGGTCACTCGCCATAGATCGCATAGCACAAGAGGTAAATAACACTTAACCAGCCAAAGACACAGAAATACGTCCAGCGCCTCCATAAGTACGTAAGAATTTAAGGCACATGTAGGAGAAACCCAAGGTGTCCAAAGGCCATAACACAGTTTCTCCACTAACTCCCCTATCGTATAGGCTGAGGATACTCTACCTGGAGCCAATGACAAAATAAATGATTTGAGTCCAGAGCTAGTGAACAGGAGTGCAGTGATTACACAACACCTGATAATGGCTACAGACAGCACAGGGAATGTTAGACTGCTTCCACGAGACCTTGAGGTCACCAATTACGTAGTCTCACAGGTAAGCATGATAGATTTGAGCTCTTTCTGTTTTACACATGAAATCTCAGGTGTTAAATGTCCTGGAGACCAAAATGAAAGAAAAAGTTGAGAGCCACAGTGAAGTAAGTCCACCACTGTAAATTAATGTGTGTAGGTGCTGTTTTTGCAAATTGCGCCATGGATGTAATGTGTAATAGCTTGGTTTGACACTCCAAGATTAGGGGTGTGCTAATTTTGCACACCACATGTTTTGTTTTAACAACAACACATCTTGGTAACACATTGGTAATGTTGATACAGCATGGAGACTGAATGACACATTAGTTGATTGTGTCACATCAACAGACTCTGTATATAACAGGTGAATTCTACAGACTTCATTTAAGCGAAGTCTGTGCACAATCAACACATTCATTGAAAACGACACACTCAATTGTTTTGCACATTCTGTCGACCTGTACACAGAATGTGCAAAACAATAGAGTGTAGTTCGAAATAACACATATTGTGTAAAACAATTCGGTGTGTCATTTTCTTGTCCAATGAATGTGTTGATTGTGCACAGACTTCGCTTAAATGAAGTGTGTAGAATTCACCTGTTACTTAAAGTGCTTTTCCTTGGTTGGTGTTAGCTACTCCAATGATAATAACCTGTTCACGATATGCATGACCTTAGTCAAACCAAGAGTTGGTGGATGTTTTTGACAATATTCTGGATGAGAGAAGCGAGAAGGGTTGGACCCAGCTCCAGACTGTGGACTCTGGGAGCCAGACTCTGCTTCAGAATGCTGAGAGATATGGAGCATACCTTGCCTCTACTGTTAATGATACCACTGAGTCTTTGCTGCTGGACAGGAAGAACATTGGTGAGTTTCTACGTACACATATACATGGTGCAAGTGAATGAGGCATAGATTTCACACTCTGTACTACTTAATGAGAGACAAATCCTTTTTTCTTGGTATTGTGTCTGTTGAAGTTGTAACAGCTGGGGTTGTGAATGGATCTCAGCTGGATAAGATGGGAAACTTTTCAGTGGAGTTGAACAAAAGAGCCCAGATCATCATTCCAACAGACTCTCTTGCTGGACTTGGTATAGGCACCAACGGAACAAGTTAGCTGCGTTGTTCAATAATCAGTTAGTTTCATATTATAGCTTTTTCACTGCAGATAATAATATTTCAATGGTTCACATCATCTTCAGGAACATTCAAGATTTCTTACCAAGGAGCACTGCAGCGTTAAGGTGATTACTTAACACACGCCATGGTCACACCAGACTAGGTGCATTGTTTTTAAACCCCGCAGCAACAAAAGGGCTGAATCGCTAGTGCTTTCATCTCAACTGGTTGGATTTGGAACAGCAGATATTCCAGATAATTTCTTCAGGGATAACCCTATCATACTCAGCTTCTCACTCACTGCAGTATGTCCTAAGATTTAGTCGCAAACACATCGGTTTTTATCACGCTATTTGACCCTCTCATAATTCTGCAGAATTTGACTAACCGGTATGTTGGAGTTTTTTGGAATTTTTATGATCCGTAAGTATTAACATTATCTTTCTTCCTGCGGTAAAGAGGTTTCTCTACACAGGGTGGGTAGTGGTGGGTGGAGCTCAGACGGGATCCAGGTAATTAGTGCTGTAACGAAGGGGAACACGACCACAGTTGTATGTAGCTCCACTCATCTCACAAGCTTTGCTGTCCTGGTCGATGTGGCTGGAGGACTAGAGGTTAGTGATTCAGTTTACCGTGCATTGTGTTACGAAGGCAGGAAGTTTTTTCTGCAACCTTACCCTAATAGCACATGACATTTTTATGGACGTTGCATGTATGTTTGCCGCACATGCAAGTACACGAGTTTCCAGGTAGAGCATGAGGGCACAGCCAAGTTTCAACAAAAAAACACTATACTACGAGTGAAACATGTAATACAACATGCACCCTGAAAGCAGGGTGTTTTGTAAACCCTTTATAGTCAATGACAGACCCAGAATATGAACTTGCCATAAATGAACACAACACACTGCCAACTGTTCCATAGGAAGTCTCAAAGGAAGAAGCACTAGGTCTGCAAGTTGTCTCCTACATTGGCTGTATCATATCCACCATCAGTCTTTCCATCACCGTGCTCTTTTACCTGGCCATGGGGTGAGAGAGAGAGAAGGACACAGACAACCACATAGCTAGCTCATAGCAAATCCTTCCTGCAGGAGAAAGCTGTTTTCTGCTGTTCACTACTTTGTCCACCTCAACCTGTCCATAGCACTGCTGCTTGGATGCATAGTTTTTATGTTTGGAATTGAGCTTGGCAAAAATAGCAAAGTAAAACTGCTCAACACTTTTTGCCAGAATATTATTTAATTTTGACACTAAACAGGCAGGTTGTGGGTTTGTGGCAGCACTGTTGCAATACCTATTCCTGTCTGCCTTCTGCTGGATGATGTGTGAGGGGATCATGCTGTACCTCATGTTGATTGTGGTCTTCACCAGACTCTCCAATAAATGGTGGTTCTTCATGATACTCGGATACTGTAAGTCACACAATGGACAGCTGATGTAAACTGAGTATTTACGTAATGATTTGCAGTATAATGGTCACTTTTTCTATAAGTGTTATCTCTGGTAATGCCTCATCCTTTCGCTGCATAGGTCTTCCTCTGTTGTTTGTGTTCATTGGACTGGTGGCACGCTCCAAGTACTATGGAGTACGTGGCAAAGATGGAGAACTTGCATTGTGAGTTAGACACCAAGGGATCCGATATATCTCTATGGTTCTTCACCTCTTCCTCTAGCTGTTGGCTCTCCACCGACAAAGGCACCATCTTTGTGTTTGTGGCACCAATGATAGCAATCATCGTTGTAAGTCCATTGGGAATTATATGGGCCGGGTACTCAATAAGGTTTTCTCTCAGACTAATGCAGTGTTCCTGGTTCTGGCTCTCAAGGTAGTTATGCAAAGTGAGAACCAGAATAAGAACAAGAGGAGGTCTATCAAGCAAGCAGTGTTAGTACAGTCACCCTATGTGTTGCTTGCCTTAACTTTGCATTGCGACCTCGTTTTTTTTTTAACATACTGTGGACTGCATATATACACCACAGGAAACTCCTGAAGGCAGCGCTCATCCTGCTGCCTCTACTGGGAGTCACATGGTTGTTTGGACTCCTGACTCTCAACAGCAATACCACAGTCTTTGCCTGGCTCTTCACCATTTTCAACTCACTCCAGGTTCCCTATTGGCTTTTACTACTAGCTAGCTTATTCCAGCCAACATACATAATATAAACACACAATAATTATCACAGGGAGCTGCCATCTTCTTTTTCCATGTAATCAGGAGCAAAACAGTAAGTGTTTATAATCACACACGGTGAAATATATAATAATATATACTTGTATGCAACTTCTATGCGTGTGCAGGTGTGGAGCAAGATATCCCCGACTGGGACCGGGGCTGACATTGATAAGAAGGACCTGGGTCCCATACCAGAGGTTAGCCCAAAAAGTCTCTCACGTCAAGCAAAGTATCCACAAATCCTCACACGACTTTAATGCTGTATGTACAAGTGATTTATACAGTAGCTATAATTATACTAATTTCATCACAGTCCAGTCCCAACACTGCTTCAGAGGGTCAGAGTTCAACAGAAACCATGGAGATACTACCAAACAATAGAGAGTCTGGCGGAGGAGTGAGGTGGCTGAGTGATGAGACAAACACAAACATGGGCAGAAAAAAGGATGTGTACATGAAAGTAGTTATGGGTCAGCAATAATTATTATTATGCTCCGCTTTTGCTCACATATTTTGATTTGGATACTGTTGCTGTCATGCTGTGTCTGGTTACACTAACACCTGGTTATTCTGATAATCGTGTCGGGTTTAATGCTATAGGATGTAGATATATATATACAACCAAGATATCACCAGACCCTTTCATCTATTTGAGGGTTGTTGGGTATAGTCAATGTGTTTCATGTTAATATTCTCTGCATAATTATAATTCACTGACTTACATGCAGAGTATAAGCAGAGTATTCTGGCAAAGCAGACAAACGAGGGAGAGATGGAGAGCACAGAATATTCTGACCGGAAAGGTCTGGAGACTTTACCAGAAGAAGTTAGTGATTGTGAGGATAGCAGTTTTGTTGGCGAAATTCACCACCAGCCCTACCACTGGGGGAAAATTCCGGGCAAATGATGTCGTACAGTTTAACCTATCGTTCTTATGAAACTTACAAGAGTACCACTTGACTTTTAATAGCTGTAATGACTTTATTGTGTTGTAGCACTAAATGTATCAGACACCGGTTGTTTTTATTGCCACTCGGGATTTTGTCAGAATTTAAACTTAAGAGTAAAACATAGCATGATTGTCTCAACACCAAACTAATACACAGAGAAAAGGTTCAGTCTTCTGCAGTGACAGTGCTGTGTAACTGGTTCTCAATAATCAACCTCCGCTGAAGACTGTTCCCATCATCTCTCTGTCTGTTTCTATACAGAGCTCCAACCACCATATAGAACACTGTACCCACCACCTGCACACACACACACACACACACACACACACTGAAACCAATCCAAGTGCTTTGTATTCACGAACAAACGTACTGTAATGATGGTCAGTGCTATGTAGAAAGGGAGGAGGGTTTTGTTTTCAAGGCTGGTTTTGTAGAGATAGTATAGGGCTGCAGAAGGGATGGAGGCAACACCAAGAAAAAAATAGAAGAGTCCAGTGAGTAGACCTTTCATACTCTCCGGAGACTGGGCATATATAAACTCTAGCACTAGAAGGGAGAAAAAATGTAAAAATTAACAAGTGATTGAGGTATTTTTGTACCAGAGACAGCAGTTATGGCCTCTCCAAGGGCGAAGATCAGCATTGGAATGAGGAGACAGCCAATCTGAGCACCTGAGACTGTGCTGTGCTGGCTGTTGATGGCTAGTGGAACGGCATGGATTATCACAACTACCACACTACCAATGCAATACAGGACCAGACCGATTCCAATCCTAGCTCTGATGGTGAGCTTTGGGAAACACGGAATGACAAGGAAATTAACCACCGGTAAAATAAACGTGATGGCTATTGTGTTGACTCCCCAGTAAATGTGTGGGTAGAGCTCGGCAAAGTATGGATTCGGGTACAATTTCATCAGAGTTTGGTTGGTTTCTTGGGATATTAGAACATCGAGCTGTAGAGGGAAACGAGACTTTCATAAACAGCGGGTTACCCTTATTGCTTAGCTTACTGCATTAACTGAGAACATGGCAGGAGCGAGTGAGAGTAGTATCAAAACAATGCCACAGAAAGTCTTCACTTCTTCCACTTTGTCGTCGGGAAACTCACCGTCGTATGTGATCTTTGCCAGTTCGATTCTCCTCTTCCTCTCTTCTCCGTACCTGAAGGCTCTGTTGCGGACTGGGAGGTGGCGTTTGACTGTGGCAGCGTAGCAGAGGATCCTGACAATGAGTTTTACTGGGTTCTCCCACAGAGTGTTCTTGAAGAACCAGTGGTGGAAACAGATGATCAGAATGAGTCCAACACTCAGTACAGCTGTCGTGACCAGTGGCTGAAACGCATTATACAACTGCAGCGAACCACCCTCAATGTCGGACATTTTTATATTGACGTATGAGAGAAGGCAGGACACAATGATTCCACTTGCCATTCCGAGGTTCCGACTGAAGTAAAAAAAGTGGAAATAGGAGCTAATTTCAGCAGACGATGCTCCCTGGAGCTGGTCAACCCCAAGAGGTATGATAGTGGCCTCAAACGCCCCTCCACCAATACTCAGAAAGAGATACGCTATGCCATTGATTGTGTATCTCACTAGAGTGGATAGGTGAATGCTACTTTGTCCTTCTAAAGTGAAAGACGCAACTATGATCACATAACCAGTGAGCAAGAAGAGGATAGAGAGGTATATCATACGCCATCTACCAGTGTAGACATCAGCTAGAAAACCTGCCAGTGGGTAGAAAATTTGACTGATGCAGTACTGAAACAGCAACTTGACGAAATGAAGAGAGTGCCTTTCCAACGGAGATGAGCTTGAGTATTTTTCAACCGCATCCCTCTGTGTTTCAAATATGTCCAGGATACCGGTTATGGCTACACCATAGGCGTAATTGACAATGAAATTTAGCATAAAAACCAACACGGAAGCCTTTCCCTTGGGGTATCGCTCACAGACAACATGCCGGTTGATGGGAGGACGAGGAATAGCCAGTGGAAGACTCTGTACCTTTTCTTCTTCTTCATCACCTACGTCTTGAATATTGGCTTTGGGCAAGGGACTCTGAGCAATGCTGTTGGTCCTCTCCCTCATTCTCTCCAGGGAATCTCTTATGCTGCCCCACGAGCTACTGCAAGACAGTGACTCCATGTTTTTATCTCCTTATGCAAAGCTTCTGTGATATACTTATCTGATACACTACACTAAAACTGAAAATGAGCTTTACTTTCTGTTTACGCAGAGTCTATAAGATGTTTTCTATACTACATGCTCTAAATAAGCACACAATGGCAGAAGCAGTGTAGCCAGCCATGTAAAGTACTAAGGCAAATAAATTGGGACCTGCCCTTGGTGCCCACCCACTTCTTACGTATACATGTTTAGCCCTATTTGGGACTTGGAAGAAATGAAAAACAAACACACCTGACTTGGTGTACCAATCTCTAGTTGTCATCAATCCAGTATTATTTGCTAGTGTCGTCATCCTTAAGCCCTCTATGTTAAGGTCGCAGCAGTCTGCTCTTAGCAAGACAGCAACCATGCCAGTCACATAGCCTTCAGACACATTTTGTGTTGGCAAAAGCACTTCGGTTTTTCTCCAGTTTGTCAGTTTCTCATTTTCCAAGGAATCTCTCTCCCTCACAGCCTGGTACATTGACACCAATCTCTTGGTGCTCTAAACAAGGCTCCAGTGCTGGCAATGGGTCGACTCCATGGTGTTGTTTGGAGGTGGTGTGTAGGACATGCATTTGGGGTTGTGTTGGGAACATTTGTAAGTGAAAGTGAAATGCAAACCAAACCCTTTTTTGCGGCCTGCCCACCCTGAGGCCTGAGAATGAGGCTATAATGAAAAACACACAGTTATACTTGAACAAGACAGTGGTAAAACAAGCAAACACACAGGAAAATTATTTTAAGGATGGTGTATGCAATTCTGTTCCTGCCACCCCTGCGGTGTAGGATGTGTGGTCGTTAAAGGGACAGGAGGTTATATAGCTATACACCATCCATAGTGTGTTGATATTGCCGAGGTGAGTTTGAAACTTTGCAGAGAGTTATTTGAGGACATCACTTGAGAGTTGACCAAAGGTCTGATGCATACTTTGATGATGGCATTTGTTGTCATTTGTTGATCACAACAATTCATTATTCAATTGCAACTAACTCCTCATGAATGAGATTTTTAAAGCACGAGCGTGTGGTGAATGTACTTATGCTAGAGTCTTTCCCACCTTGTATGAACGGGCGACTGAGTCACGCCCCTTTCTGCAGCAGTCTTCTACCAGCGAAGTCAGCAAGAGAAATAGTGAGTGAGTTGTGGGCTGCTCGATAAACACTTGACTAAGTACATTGCTTGCACTGCAGCTTGATAATTATGGCTACGGGGCATGGTCACATACTACAGCAAGGCTTTGGTGAGGATGATTTGCTGGCTTTAGTTGATGCCCTTTATCCAGTTAGCAAAAAGTACCTTCATCTCGGTTTACAAATTGGAGTAAAAAAGGAGGAAATAGACAAGGTAAAATACGCTGATCCCACTATGCGTTTGCTTGAAGTCATAAAACTCCGTCTGAGGGTAAGTGAGCCCCTTACGTGGAGCATGATAGACCAGGCACTTCGGTCGAGCTCGATTAATGAGAGTCAGTTGGCGGATAGCATACAGCGAGATGGTCTCAAAAGTAAATATGAGAAGGCTAGTGTTAAGGATGGCAAGTCTCGAAGGGTAAGAGAAGATGGGCCATCATCTGCTTTACTGGAGTACCAATTTAGTGCTGAATCCTACACGGATCCGTCGCCTTCCAGTGAAAATGAAGAAAGCTTATGTGAGAGTGACCTAGGAGCCATAGATAACGCCCTCCACCCTGTATGCAACAAGTATGTGTTTCTTGGCCTACTAATTGGTGTTAGCAGAAGGGACATAGAAATTATTGAGGCACGCTACGAAGATCCCAGCAGGTGCTTGCTTGAGATTCTATCACTCCGTCTGAAAGAAGCTAAACCACTCACATGGGGTGCTGTTGACAAGGCACTCAGGTCAAGACTTATCAATGAAAGTCGGTTAGCTGACGAAATTTTAGAAAACAAATCTTGGCCAAGGTTCGAAGTACGAACAGGATTAGAGCATGTTAAGCAAGAGACGTCTGCAGGAAATGCAGCGAAAGAGGAAGATGGCGATATTTTATTCCATCACACTTCAGCAAGTCAAACACAAGAAACAGAATTTAACACCCACCATGCCGTAACATGTGAAGGAAAGACTAAGAGAATTACATTGTCACCTACAATTAGCAAAGTTGATGAAGTATTAAAGGACGACAGTGAGCCAGTAAAATCTTTGACTTCTTCAAAACGGCATCCAGAGGAGGTAGGCACCAGGACTGAACTTGATGCTGCTGAAGAAGAGACGGAACGTGCACAGGGCGATGAGTCCATGCTAAGTGGAAATGACAACAGAAGAACGAAATGGGAAGAAAGTGAAAAGAAGGAAGCATCATCAATTAATGGCGCTGCAAACGCACCGTTTTGTGGTTCAAAAGATGAGAGAATTCCCGAAAAACCTGTTTTCTCAAAGGCAATCAAATCAGGTACACCCTTAACTTCACAAGCTACTCGGTCAGTTTTTAGGCATGATGATTCCAAAAGAAACACAAGTGAGACGGACTCATCTAGTTCATCTGAGACTGACAATGAATCTTCGCCAGAACGTGACAAACTGAGGGGACAACTCACTCCAGAACACAACAAAAAACTTACTAAGATATTCAAACGCTTTTTTGGAGAGCTCTGTTGTGCCATTACGAGTCCTGCTAAAACGGCCGCCCAGCTACAGAGACAGCCGGGCCTGATATCCCAGTCTCTAATGAAGAATATACTGAGATCTCCCGAGTCCGAAATGGATAAAACAATCAGTTTGGTGTCTTCACTTGGCCAAAAAATTAAATCGCGCCCTGACAAGATTCTTACGTTGATTACAGGTTTGCTAGAAATCCCCGACTTAGAAGAAGTCGGCCGACGTATGTTGACAGACACAGGTACATTGTTCAATATTGTCTGTGTCAACTGTACTAATGTTGTTGTACTTCAGATAAAGTGTGCCCTAGAAGAACAGCCACAAGTTATCCATGTTCTCCTGGAAATGTAGACTCAAAGGCAGCACTAGGTAAGCATAAACCCCTGCTCTCTCTGTTTTTTTGCCATACCCAATGTTTCCCTTTTGTACAGAGAGTCATATAAAAGGACCCGCACATGATCTTACCACCAGTCAGGACACTCCGTCACCTGCAGCCTCCATAAGTACAGGTAGTATGGCAACACCATCTCCTGAAGTAAGTGCTCCAACGCCAACACTACATTTGAGCCCAGTGCTGCAAAGGTACAGGGAATATTTGCAGTCGTATTACAAGGCTAGAGCTCTGGCTCCAGCAGACAAGTTCCTCCCCACAATGAATGCTCCATACATAGACTTAGCAATGGTTAGTAAAACATTGTACAAGGATGGGATACATCAGTATGTGTCACCACTTCGTATGGGAAGACTTGCTGAGTCCTGTGAAGGACAAGCAGCCAGTCAAGTTTGTATTGGTAGAAGGTCCTCCGGGAATGGGAAAGAGTACCTTTGCTTGGGAGGTATGTAGGAGATGGGATGAAATTCTTAGAAACTATCACGCTGTAGTGCTCCTCAAGTTAAGGGAAAAGTGGGTTTTGAACGCGACCTCACTTGCCGATCTGTTTCGTTATCCATCTGAACCCCAGTTTAGTAGTAGTATTGCTGCTGAATTCGATCGGTCGCAAGGACGAACTTTGCTGCTTGTTTTAGATGGCTTTGACGAAGTCTCTCACAATTTCCATCGAGATTCTGCAATAGTAAGCATTCTACGTAAGCAACTCCTCCCTGCTTGTACAATCATTCTCACAACTAGATCTTCAGCCAAGTCGATTATTCATCAAGCTTTACAGCCTCGAGTTGATAAAAATGTAGAGATTATCGGATTCACTGAGAAAAAAAGGGTTCAGTACATCACAGAGGTCTTCAGTGAGAAACCAGAGCTTCATGCAAGATTCTTGAAGTACATGTTTCTTGTCCCTCACATCAAGTCAATGATGTACACTCCTCTCAACTGTGCAATAATTGCCCGGGTCTATTTCGAGTCTCAAAACACCCCTCACCTTAGTCAACTCGAAAACAAGAACACAGCTGTACAGAGCACTCACTCATTCTCTTCTTGCTAGACACATAAATTCGAGAGAGGGTTTTGATTTTGAGTGTATGCTGCCAGAAGGTCTAAGGCAAGACTATATGGAAAAATTTAAGGTGTTGGCTAAATTTGCTTTTGATAGCTATCATCACAATAATGATTCGCCAAGAAAGGTAACATTCTTTAATGAAGACATACCCAAGGGACTAGATCACTTTGGGTTTATGAATGAGTCCACTGAAATGTATGCCAGCAAAGGAGTGGAGCGAACGTTTTCATTTATCCACCTCAGTCTACAGGAATACCTTGCAGCTTGGCACCTAGCCCACAGCTACAGTATTGAGTTTCAGGTGGCATATCACGGGATGGCTGTAATGAGTAGTGGATCCGTGCATTGTTTGTTCCTCAAAAATGATTATAAAGGTAGTAGCAAAGAGGAGGAAGCTCTCATAGCATCTCTACAGTCTCTATCCTCAGCACTAGAGGAGCCAGCCATATTCCTGTCCGGGATCAATGGCTGTAGATTCCAGTCACAGAAAACTAGAAGCCCCTGGTACACATATCTCAGCACCAGCTCTGGGGATGTTTTCAGATCAAGAGTGCTGTTACGCTCTCTCTATGAAGCTCAAAATCCATTGCTTTTAAGGGACTATTTTGCTGGCAGCACTCGCTCCACTTGTAGAGAGGTTACCATTGGGTCTTGGGGATTCGTGAGGGGACAGACACAATACGAATGCTATGCTCTTTCATATTGTCTAGCACATTGCTCTGATCAGTTGCATTTGAAACTCGACTTTAGTAATTATCTCCAGATCTTTCTTCTGCAATCGTTTGTCAAAGGTCTCTTGGATAACTTCAAATCTACCTCAGACAATGTGAAGAGTATCGATGTGAATATGTCTGTGGAAAGATCTAACGATTTTGTGTATTGGTTAACAAGAGCTAATAAGTGTTTTTCTGGACTGGAAAAAGCTTCACTTTCGTTTACCAAAATTGACAGTGATACTCTCCAGAGGTTTTTGCAACCGCTTTCTAATCTCCAGTCACTTGTGATTAACATGACGACATCTGAATCTTGGGAGTGGCTTTCAGGGCTCAAGTCTCTCACCAAACTTGAAGTTTTAAACATTACTAGCAAAAAGCAATGCAACCTTCCACCAGTTGAGCCCCTTTGTTGGCTTGTCAAGAATCGCCTGACAAAAGCTGTGCTTGATATCAAAATACCATCTACACCGTATGATATTGGTAGTCCAACAGCCTTACTTGTTGACTCTGTGATGCAGTCTGTTATGAATTCAAATCAAATTAGTGAAGTAGAACTTCCCAATGTGTCACGTGAAACAATGGTTGGTGTCCGTGACATCTTACTCATGTGCCCGAATCTAACAACATTGAAACTCAAGAGAACCAGACTGGGATATGAAGGAATCCTCTACATTTGTAGTGCTCTAACAAACAGTAAAACATCATTGAAATTCCTTGAGATCAACGATCTTTGCTTGCCACCTAAAAAACGAGGCGTACAATTATACGATATTTATCCCGTTGTTTCGTCTTTCTCTTTGATGGACAGTGTTCCTTTGCCCAGCAAAATTACCTGCACTGACTTTCTTCTAAAGCTGAACAATATTCTTAGAAAAAATACAACTCTTGAAAAGATAGTCATCCAGTCAGGAGTTTTCAGACCTGTTGATGATACAAGTATTCACTTTGGAGGGTTTACAGAGTGGACAGGACTGGGACCTCTGCAGCAGTTCAACATGGGAGTCATCAGAAGTGGGGTATCTCACAATCTAAGAAGATCCTTCTCATCATCAGACATCACCCGGCCACAGACCCAACTCTACTGGTGGAGAAACTTTGTGGCTCTTAAGAATATAGAACTGTGGGATCGTAACAGTCCTGGTCTGACAGTGGTACAGGTAAAGAAGTCCTGTCCCGTTCCATTATTCACGGCTCCTGACAATCAGGTTCTGCAGTTCTTCTCCGGCCTTGACCTTCGTCTCAGGGAATGTCTGGGGATATTAAACCTCAGAATGTACGCAATTAACACCGCCAGCACTGGCCTTATGCTTTTTAATAGGGACGTGACTCCTCAGAACTTGTTCCTTGTGTGGACGACTGGGGTATAAGACGGGTAATTGGATATTTGTAGTATTACATCGCTATATGGCTTATTTTTAGTTGATGTGTTTATAGCTAGCTGCTAGGTTTTATTTAGTACTGCTATTTCTGTAGTCACTATAATTATTTAGTCGAGCCTACATGTCTGCTGATTTCACCCTGTCTCTTCCCTTGCTCACCTTTTGATCACCCTTCACACTTGTGTCACCCACTTTAATATTCCTGTCACCCAACCTCTGCTTTCTAGATCTTTCTTTTGTGTATCATCCCTATATAAAGTCTATCCATTCGCACAGTTCATGAGAAGATATATTTTTGCGAAGAGAATCAAGCAGCAAGCGCCGACCGCTCAGGCGCAATCCTTCACACCTTGGATTTTCATTTTCCTCACCTGATACACCCATTGTTTTTTCAGTTTAAACATTAGTGAAAAGGAATACCACTGAGAAATGAAAAGCACTGAAGTGCAAACCCTCGGCGCACTGTGACGCGCGCGTAAGTAAACGCATGCGCCGTTGTTACTCGTGGTCTCTTGCCAGCTCGCGCAGAGTCTGACGCGGGCTAACTACACTACTAGATAGCATGCGAGAGGCGATACACGCCCTGCGTTGCATCTTCTGGTGCCTCCGAGGTACGCAGAGCATGCGGATCGATCATGCCGTAGTAAGCCGTTGTGTATTTGCATATTGGCTTTTTCGCGCTCTAGCTTTGCAACGGAGCGTTTTCAGAGAAAACCGTTCGAAATTTCTGACCTTCATTGCCCGTTCGGTAGGTGGTATCCTTTGTGAGACGAAAGAACACTCGAGAAGTGAGATGAAGAGTAACAGACACACAGACACACAGACACACAGACAGACAGACAGACCCAATGAAAGCTGAAGTGCAAACCCGCGGCGCTCTGTGACGCGCACGAGTAAGCAAACGCATGCGCCGTATCACTAAGTGATGGGCAGAGTCTGACGCGGGCTAACTACACTACTAGATAGCATGCGAGAGGCGATACACGCCCTGCATTGCACCTTCTGGTGCCTCCGAAGTACGCAGAGCACGACCGCGGTAAGCCATCCCGTCCGTTGCGTATAGCTTTTTCGCGCTCTAGCTTTGCAAAAGAGCATTTTCAGAGAAACCCCCACATACTTTCTGACCTTCGTCGCCCCGTTGGGTAGATGGTATCGTTTCTGGGACGAACAGATATTCGAGAGGTGAGATGTAGAGTAACAGACAGACACACGGACGGACGGACGGACAGACCCACTGAAGTGCAAACCCTCGGCGCACTGTGATGCGCACGCGTAAGTAAACGCATGCGCAGTACCACTAATTGATGGGCTGGGTTTAGTTTTAGCTGTTAATCGTGGTCTCTTGCCAGCTCGCGCAGAGTCTGACGCGGGCTAATACCCTACTAGATAGCATGCGAGAGGCGATACACGCCCTGCGTTGCATCTTCTGGTGCCTCCGAGGTACGCAGAGCACGCGGACCGCTTCCCGTCCGTTGTGTATTTGCATATTGGCTTTTTCGCGCTGTAGCTCTGCAACCGAGCATTTTCAGAGAAAACCCTTGACCTTCGTCGCCCGTTGGGTAGATGGTATCGTTTCTGGGACGAACAGACATTCGAGAGGTGAGATGTAGAGTAACAGACAGACACACACACACAGACAGACCCAATGAAAAGCACTAAAGTGCAAACCCTCGGCGAAGTAGCTCGCAGAGAGTCTGACACGGGCTAGCTACAGTTGTAGATAGCAAGCGATAGTCGATACACGACACTCGTTGTGACTTCTTGTGCCTTCAAGATAGACAGAGCAAGCGGACCCGGTCCTGTGCTAAATATAAGCGCATGCGCATTAACCGCCAGCGATAAAATGGCGACTACAGGCATTTGCCATACAATGCTGGAAGCGCTCTAGCTTAGCAACGGAGCATTTTCAGTTTAGGTTGTATCGTTTGTGAGACGAACAGACATTCGAGAAGTGAGATTGAGAGTAACAGACAGACAGACAGACAAACCCAACTACAGTACCCTCGCTGCGCATGCGCGCCGAGGGTAATGAAAAGCACTCTGAAGTGCAAACCCTCGGCGAACTGCGCACGCGCGGTACCACTAATTGATGGGCTGGGCTTTTAGTATGCGTTTACTCGTGGTATCCACGCTAGTAGTTCGCGGAGAGTCTGACACGGACAAGCTACAGTAGTAGATAGCATGCGGGAGTCGACACACGCCCTTCGTTGCGACTTCTTATGCCTTCAAGATACACCGATAAAAATGGCCGACTACGCATTAGCCATACAATGCTGGAAGCGCTCTAGCTCTGCAACGGAGCATTTTCAGAGAAAACGCCACCTTCGTCGCCCGTTGGGTAGATGGTATCGTTTCTGGGACGAACAGACATTCGAGAGGTGAGATGTAGAGTATGACCCGGGCTAACTACACTACTAGATAGCATGCGAGAGGCGATACACGCCCTGCGTTGCATCTTCTCGTGCCTTCAAGCAGACCCGAGCCTGTTAAAAATATAAGCGCATGCGCATTTTCCGCAGCGATAAAAATGCCCGACTAGCATTAGCCGTACAATGGCGGAAGCGCTCTAGCTCTGCAACGGAGCATTTTCAGAGAAAACTGTTCGAAATTTCTGACCTTCATTGCCCGTTAGGTAGGTCGTATCCTTTGTGAGACGAACAGACACTCGAGAAGTGAGATTGAGAGTAACAGACACACACACACACACCCAACTACAGTACCCTCGCTGCGCGCGCCGAGGGTAACTACTGTAACCCTCGCTGTGCATGCGCGCCGAGGGTTAATGAAAGTGCCAACCCTCGGCGAACTGCGGTACGGCTAATTGATGGGCTGGGCTATTAGTGTGCGTTTACTCGCGGTCTCCCGCTAGTAGCTCGCAGAGAGTCTGACACGGGCTAGCTACAGCAATAGATAGCATGCGAGAGTCGATACACGCCATTCGTTGTGACTTCTTGTGCCTTCAAGATACACAGAGCAAGCGGACCCGGTCGAGGTAAGCCTGTGCTGAATATAAGCGCATGCGCATTTTTCGGAGCGATAAAATGGCGTCTTAGCCGTACAATGCCGGATGCGCTCTAGCTTTGCAACGGAGCATTTTCAGAGAAAACCCCACAACTTTTCTGACCTTCATTGCCCGTTGGGTAGGTCGTATCGTTTGTGAGACGAACAAACACTCGAGAAGTGAGATGTAGAGTAACAGACACACACACACACACACCCAACTACAGTACCCTCGCTGCGCATGCGCGCCGAGGGTAAACTAGTAACTACAGTACCCTCGCTGCGCCGAGGGTTAATTAAAGTGCAAACCCTCGGCGAACTGCGCATGTGCGGTACCACTAATTGATGGGCTGGGCTTTTTATGCGCGGTATCCCGCTAGTAGCTCGCGGAGAGTCTGGCACGGGCTAGCTACAGTAGTAAATAGCACGCGGGAGTCGATACATGCCCTTCGTTGTGACTTTCTTGTGCCTTTAAGACACACAGAGCGAACGGACGCGGTCGAGGTAAGCCTGTGCTAATTTGCATATTGGCTTGTTCACTTGGTTTTCACGCCATAACTTTAAAACACAGTAGTTTTACGATTTAAAATCAACCCAGTGTAGCACTGAACCCGATCATATCGCTATTTACCTGATTTCGTGCGCGCGTTGGTGGTAACAGACAGACTGACTGACAGACACACTTACGGGACAACTACCGTAACCCTCGCTGCGCATGCGCGCCGAGGGTTAACAAGTATAAAAGCAGCAGAAGAAAGTCATCATCAACACTAAAGTGAAACGGAATTACTACAGTAGAACTGAGAAAACAAGTATAAAAGCAGCAGAAGAAAGTCATCATCAACACTAAAGCGAAACGGAATTACTACAGTAGAACTGAGAAAGCAAGCAGCAGAAGAAAGTCATCATCAACACTAACAATAGTGTAGCAAGGTATATAGAGTTCTTTTACACGAGTTCAGACTGTACCGAAAAGGTGTGCATGTTGCTTATGCACTAGTTCGGGGTGGTTCAAGCACACCGAACCTTCACACTTCACTTTCACATGGGTTCAGAGTGGTTCGACTCTACGGAACCTTCTCTAACTAAATCTTCACAGAAGAAACAAGATGTGCAGGGTGCTCGTACACTAGTTCGGGGTGGTTCAAGTGCATCGAACCTCCTCGAACCATCTCGAAAGATACGAAGGTTTGTAGAGTTCTTTCACATGAGTTCGGGGTGGTTCGACTGTACTGAACCTTCTCTACCTACATCTATACAGGGGAAACAAGGTGCAGGGTGCTTATAGAAAATTCGGTACAGTTGAACCACCCCGAACTCAGCAATAAGGTTCGTACAGTCGAACAGAAGGTTCGAGGAGGTTCGATGTACATGAACCACCCCGAACTAGTGCACGAGCACCCTGCACACCTTCTTTCTTCTGTGAAGATGTAGATAGAGAAGGTTCAGTACAGTCGAACCACCCCGAACTCATGTGGAAGAACTCTACACACTTTGCTATCTCTGCGATGATGTGGTTCGACGAGGTTCGATGCGCTTGACCCACCCCGAACTAGTGCACGAGCACCCTGCACACTTGTTTCCCCTGTGACAACTACATCTCTTCAGGGGGGATACAAGGTGTGCAGGGTGCAATATGCACCGGTTCGGGGAGGTTCAACCACATCGAACCTCATCGAACCTTCATCTTCACAGAGATAGCAAGGTATATAGAGTTCTTTTACACGAGTTCGTGGTGGTTGGACTGGACCGAACCTTCTCTGACTACATCTTTACATGGGATAGAAGGAGTGCAGGGTGCTACATGCACTAGTTTGATTAGGTTCAAGCACATCGAACCTCATCGAACCTTCTCAAACTACATCCTCACAGAGATAGCAAGGTATATAGACTTCTTTTACACGAGTTCGGGGTGGTTCGACTGGACCGAACCTTCTCTGACTACATAACGATGTAGATAGAGAAGGTTCGGTATAGTCGAACCACCCCGAACTCGTGTAAAATAACTCTATATACCTTGTTAACCCTCGGCGCGCATGCGCAGCGAGGGTTACAGTAGTCGTTCTGTCTGTCTGTCTGTCCGTCTGTCCGCGCGAGTTCTGGCACTACAGGCTACGAGGCGGCCAATGAGTGTCACCAACGGGTTGTTATAACAACGAGATGATTGATATTAAGAGTAGGGGTAACTCCGGACATGTGGCGTTACACCGGCCTCGAAATTTTTCGCTGCGAAAAGAACGCGAGGAAGATTTGTTAGCTCCTTGGTAGGTAGTAATCAAGTGAAAT